AGAGGCCCTCTATCAACACTTCCTATACCTTCGAGAAATTTTGGAAGCTTACCCTCACCTGGTGGCTCTGACGGGTCTACGCTCGACGTGAGGTGGTCCATTAGTTCTCAGTCGGGGGGGATATCACCTGGGACTAAAGTTGGCTGGAGGGACTATATCGGTTGCCGGAGTCCGAGCGTTGAGAGCAGTGCGCCTTCTTCTGCGGTAGACTACGATAATCCCAACTATGTCCGCCGTCGGGGAGGTGGAGCCACACCGCAAAACGAAGACTCGCTCAGCCTCCCGAGTCGATCTAACCGGGGAAGTTATGACCAGGGGATATTCTCAGACATCGAAGGTGATTTCTCGACGGACGAATCATTACCTCCACGTTTATTTAATGTTCGTGAAGCAACACCGCCGTACTTGGACACATCCAAATCCGGCATGAAAAGACGAGCATCTTCACCTCCAAGAGAACCAATCAGCGATGATAGGCACACGCTACATGTAACGACAAGTAATGGTGATCTCTCACAGCGAAGGACATCTGGCCATCCGTTCACGAATACTTTATCTGTCAATAGCGCTTATGCCCAGAGCCATGGGAGTATCTCAGCTGCGTCATCTTTGAGCCTTCGAACTTCTGGATCCTACTCGTCAGCAGCTCTTTCAGTGGGAGGAAGCAGTGTTACGAGTGCGTCTGTATATGAGCGGTCGCCCGGGGGGCTCTCTCCAAATTCCGACCTCGAATCATTTCATGACAAGTTCCATCTCAATCCTACCTCTCCTGGCGGAGTTCCAAACCAAGCGGCAATGAGAGGTGCACCGGGCCCTACTACGCTAGAGCCACCCAATCCAAATGTCGCAAGGAAAATGTCTTTGCAGACGAGTTTGAACGCACCAAAACAAGCTGGTCCCAAGATGGGTGGTTTGTTCATTTGCGATTGCTGCCCCAAGAAACCTAAGAAGTTTGACAGTCCCGAGGAACTTCGGTAAGTCTCAGTATAGTCAATTAATTTATTTCATCTGTGACAGGACATTTTCTAACCTATGATCCTTCGATAGTGCCCATGAGATGGAGAAACAGTACTCTTGCTTATTCTGTAACAATCGGTTTAAAAACAAGAATGAAGCTGAGCGCCACCAAAATTCGCTCCACTTGCGGCGTCATTCTTGGTCATGCGCTGCCCTACCAGGATACCAGGCTGCGTTCCATCCTTCATCTTCTCCTTCAAGCCAAACGAATTCAGGGCCCTCGCACGACACCTGTGGTTATTGTGGTGAAGAATTCCCTAATTTCCCTCAACCTGACTGGGACCGCAGGTTCGAGCATTTGACGACAGTGCACAAATTTGGGGAGTGCAACAATGCAAAGAAATTCTACCGGGCGGACCATTTTAGACAACACCTGAAGCACAGTCATGCTGGGACCAGTGGAAAGTGGACCAACATTCTGGAGAACGCCTGTATGAAAGAGGAAGCGCCTCCTGAACCCAGAAACGCCACGAGCAACGGCGGACCAGGCCCTGCAATAGGAACGACTACGACACTTACGTCAAATAAGATCAACGAGGTCCTCAGCGGCTGCTGACAATCATTGCATTGGTGTATACCACTGGATTAGGGTTTCTGTGGAGTTACAATGCTCTGAAGCGCTGTAGACGACTACAAACTCGTGTTTCCAGGGCATTTGCTGCATTTTTCTTTGCTTTTATCTTCCTTTTCTAAGGTTAAATACCCACTTTTCGTCGTCAGGATCACATTCCACCGAATCCTGCCCGTTTACTACTACCCAGCGTAGGCGGGGTGCAATTTCTTTTAGTGCATCTCTTCCACGCATCATGTGCACTCAGCTTCTGCGTTCGATAAAAAACTTTTCATCTGGGGCAAATAGGACATGGTATAGGGCGGGATTATGGTTGATTTATAAAGCATTGGAGGGCAATCTAGCATGGAAAGGGAGAACTGTCATCATGATATGACATGATTGATTGCCTTTCCCTCATACCATCTTTTCATTCAGTCACCTTTTGGCGATTGGGGACATGGAGTATTGGAGAAATTGACTTGGGAGGTTTGTGTCTGGATCGTTTATTGCGCGTGGGTTGTTTTCTTTTCTTCATATCTGCTTTCTCTATCCCCTTATTGCCTTCTCTTCTCACCTGTTTATGGTCGTTATGATATGGCACTTGTGACTTTGTACCGGGTGCTTGGTATCTCTGTAAATAGAATTCTGTATATGGCCAAAAGAAAAGGATATACAAAAAACTCGACATACTGCAATCGAGTGATGTTCTGAGCAGGCAATAGCCAACAATAAAATAAGAGAAAAAGAAAAAAAAGTGTCAAAACCATTGGATTTAATGCATCGCAACGCCAGAACAATGCATGGGAACTATTCTAAGTCGTAACTTTTTCCACCGGGTAAAAGTAGAACCAAAACATACAACGACCAAAAGCCAATGTTCATTAAAACAATGGGCGAAGCATAAATACACCGACCGCCTACACCAGGTATTTTAGAAAGCAAAACAGAATCCATCCTCCGCATACTCTCATGACGCCTGTTCCGAATTTTAAAGCCCTTCCTCGATTAACCCGGCTGCCTCCTTTGCCAGCCGCAGGTCCTTGCCTACGAGTCCGATGTCCTTGAGGTAGAGGTTGAATGCGGATAGGAGATCCTTGAGAGAGCCCTTGAGGGTGTCGAGTACGAGATCCACGTCTGGGACTCGACGGGCCTCTGCTTGTGCTTCGGGGTTGCTTGATGGTGGGAAGTTGACGTCTGTCCAGTGGGCGTTAAGACCGCCGTGGATGAAGGGCTCCAAGGTCATGATGGTGTTCGTGAAGAGGCGTACGACATCGGGCACATCGGCCTGGACTTTGCCATATTGGTCTTCCTGCAGACTTGCGATGAGGAGGCGAGTGAGCGACTCGATGGCGTCGACGATAGGGCATAGGTTGGCGTGTGGCGCGCCTAGGACAATGCCTGACAGGCGACGGTCGTACGTTTGTCGGAAGAGTCGGCCTACTGGAGAGCGGAGGAGCTGTGCGATGAATGGGTTAAGGTTTTCTGGCTTGCCGGCTGAAGGGCCTGTGAGCATCTTGAGTTCTTGTGATGAAGCAAGAAGTTTCTGCTTGCGCTCCGGGCTCAATATGGCAGTGGATGCACGGTCGAAGACATCGCGGGCTTTGGCTCGGGCCGTAGGGGTCCAATCTGCCGATTGCCCGTAAGACTTGGCTGTTGAGCTGAAGACCTCCCCGATCTTCTCCTGCCGCGAGCTTGCTTTGGGAGAGGGAGCGAAGACGTTGTCCGCTTTGAGAGGGTCTGTTAGTCGCGGTAGAGTGCGGAGAACCGGTTCGGTCGGTTCGGCTTGTGCGGGCTTGGGACCCGATGGCGGGTTCTTCTGTTCATCGATGCGAGTAGAAATGCCCTTGATAACCTCGGTGGCAGATTGCAGGATCTGCGACCACGCTGGTCCTCCGTCGCGATCAATATCATTGAAGATCGCCTTTCGTCGGTCAGGAAATCTCTGACTGATGAAGCATAATTCCCAAAATGCGAAAGATTTAACGGTCTCCTTCTTTGCGGTCAACCCCGTCAATAAGCTGCCATTAGGATCTTTCGCTTCAGCCGTCAATGGCTGACCACGCTTGAGTGGCTCCTTGCTAAGGAACGCGGAGAAGAAAAGATTGGCGGTTTGCCAGCAAAGAACTAGGAGGCTTCCGGAGAACGCTGTGCGTAGCAGCAAGCCTGGGCCAATTGGGCCAATAAGGCCTGGAGGAGCCGCAGCAGACCGAGGGAAGTCCCAGAATAATTTCGCCCAGTACATGGTGAAGCTCCATGCCGGGCGTCTTAGGAAGAAGGTATACACCATAGGGCAAGCTACGGCGACCACAGCGCTTCTTGTGAAGCCGTCTTTTATGAGACCAGGCAATGCAACTTGTATGCGCTTAGACACCGGTTCCACTGGGTGGGTTCTCTGATCAGCATTGCCCGCAGCCCGTTTAGCAACGGGAATAGGTACACGGTCGAAATCGTAATACAGATGGACAACAGATTGCACAATTGCGAGTAGTAGATGGCAAGTGTAGAGGTAAATCGGTCTTTCATTTAAGCTTGCGCGCTCGTGGGGCCTATTTCTCTTAGTTCACAAGGTCCCTTAATCCAAGTTCTGCGTGGGGGGGGGGGAGCACATACCGGCTTCTATTAACCCACTCCAAGTGTGCTCCACTGGGAGATGACCATTTATAGATCTCACTAAACCACCATGCCGAGAAAATATACCATCCAAATGTTTGGACGACATCGAGCGGGATAAGGTATTTTAGAGTGCCTAAGGGAGAGGCAGTCGTCCGCGAGCCAATGTGTATCTGTCCAACGCGCAATACGAAAACGACAAGGCTGCAGATAAATAGCAAGACAGTACGAATTCCACATGCTCCAATTGGGAACCAAGCCCATAAAACTGGCGAAAGGTAACATAGTTAACTACCAATTCGTTCAAAAGCAGCATTTCCAAGAATAGGTCACTTGTAGTAAAAAGATTCCTGCTACTTACAGGACGATTTATCTCCAATCAAGAACGCAGCTAAGTAACAGACAAGTAGCGCTAAAGCAGAAGCATGGACGAAGCGTCGGTGCAGCGCTGAGGTCAAGATGCGCCGATATGGGCGTGGCCGGATAGCAGCCATGGTGCTAGTTCAACTGGGGGTGCTCCAAGATCTCTTAGGTAGAGAAGGAATGAATTTCACAGCATGATCAGAACTGCTGCGCAGTATTATTCCTATCTACCCAGACTAAGAGATTGAGCGGCAGTTCGATGTATGAGCTAAACGGGCAACCGAAATTCCGAGTGACGGCAGCATGCGACGATAGAATGAAGCTTTTAGGGAAACGCATCAAAACACACTAGCCACAACCCGTCGGTCAGGTGATGGACCCACCAGCCACGCATCATGTCGTTGCAGCCTGCAAATCCCGGCAGAAACTCAGGTGACCGCTCGGCGATCCGCATGTTGACGTTCTATCTGGCGGTCCTCCTCCAACACTATTTCATTCATCGTCACTCTGAGTCGCATCGCCCACCATGTCTTTCGACCGTCTTAGTTCTTTAGAATCACAGCCTACTACCCTACGTCGCTCTGACGATCCACAATATCGAGATGACCCCGAGTTCTACCAACTCACGGAAAGTCTTTCAAATCAGCTATTCAGCCTAACCTCGAACATTACCCGGCTATCGGACCAGATCGCGCTTCTAGGGACAAGGCGAGACACGGAGCGAGTCCGTGAACGAGTTCACAATCTTTTAGAGCAGACTCGTTCAGGATTTAAGGGAGTAGGAGAAGGTATCAAGAAAGTGCAAGCATGGGAGGATGTTAATGTATGCGAACACAGCCAGACTCGACGTAATGCGCTACTGACACTCATCTGATAGCCTTCTCAAAAATGGACACAGCAAAAGCTATCTTCAGAATTCAAGGCTACTCTGGATGAGTTCCAAACCGTCCAGCGCCGGGCTTTGGAGAAGCAGCGTGCATCTGCTGTCGCTGCCCGCACCGCCGTGGAAGAAGGTGAACATCCAGCGGTTGAAGGAGCTACGCAAGACCAGCAACAGCTACTTCAGGAACAGCCTCGACTTGCGAACCAGGATGAGGTGGACTTCCAGGAGTCTCTGATTATTGAGCGCGAAGCAGAAATTCGCAATATCGAGCAAAGCGTTGGCGAACTCAATGAGTTGTTCCGCGATGTCGCCCACATCGTGCACGAGCAAGGAGGCCAGCTCGATATAATCAGCGAGAACGTTGAGAATGTTACGAACGACACCCGGGGAGCTAATGTTGAGCTTCGCAGTGCCAGCAGACATCAAAAGAACGCCCGGAACAAGGCTTGCTGCCTCCTTGTCATCATGGCCGTCATCCTAACGATCATTGTGCTGGCGGCTACTATTGGATAAGTCGATCCAGTTACACTTTATTGTTTCCATCTATCGGTCCTAGTCTACTTATACTGTTCATTATGGCGGCTTTTGTTCACGATATCCTCTTATATGCAGTTCGATGTATTGTTATGAACTATCTATTCCCTCTCATGACTTGATTTACGACCAGCTGGCGCATGCGGAGTGAGGGAAGTGTATCTTCATTTTGTCCTTCTATCCTTATTTGTTCCTTCTTCTAGAGTATCATACATAGCTTGTGTGTTATACAAAGATTATACATCAAAGACCATTGCCCAATATGCAACCAAACTCCATATCGCCCTTATGTGCATCGCGAACGTAAGTGATGAGCCGCTTTACAAGCCTGTGAAGCGGCTGAATCTCATCCTGCAGCCTTCAAAGGTGTTCAACTTCGGCCGTACATCTAAGTAGAAGCTCAACTTGCCAGGTCCGGCATTAGCAGCCAAACCGGCCGGTCCACCGTTGGCTCCAGACGACTTCCCTTGATAAAAATCAATGACGTACTCAATCCTCTCTCCATCGCATCTCTCTACAACCCAGTCGTGGCGATCGAATGGTAATTGGTAGCCCATTAGATTATTGATACGAGCACGCGGGCTCAGGAACTGGGGGTCAACGCCCAGTCCGCGGAATGAATATAGCTTCGGGCCTCCACATTTCTTGCTGCCAGGATCAGACCGGGGCGCTTGCTTCTCCCACTCTAAAATCTGTTGCCAGGCACGCTCGTTAACGGCATTATGAATCGGGATAATGGATGCCACAGAAGTTGCTAATTCGGTAGGCGAAGTGCTGGAAGCCGGTGTATTGCCTTTGCGCATCAATGCTTCGAAGAATTGGCGCTCAGATGGGTAAATCCAATTCCCGCTGTTCTCATCATGACCTGTTTCAGATTCCGCATTTGAGGGCGTGCCGTGCGATACAGCCGGTGTAGTATATGGGGATGGAGGTTCCGCAGCAGCCTTAGGAGACGGTTGCTTCGAGACTTGGTCGAAAGCTCTGGGAATACTGCTCACTTCACGGTCACTTGAAAGTGGTCGTTGTAGTTTTGTTTTTGATTCTCCATCTTCCGTTGGTAGAGGATGAGGAGGACCGCCCGAGGCCTTATGTTGCTGTAGCCAAATCTCACGGGTCTTATGATCCACCGGGCATGCTGCAGCCGGCGCAGATTCGGCGGAAGATGCTGACTGGGTACTCGCACCAGCTCCCATTATCGGATATTTTCTGATTTTCTGGAGTTGGTTGACAGGGGGTGGACGAGAAATGCCGATGACAAATCGGGTTGTTGATTACTATCGAAGAAGATTTACTTGCGGAAGGCGGAGAGAGAAATTCTGACATACTCACCGCCTTTCAGCGGAATTGAATTTGCTCCACATTTCTTCTAGGTTGGGAAGGCGGTCTTTCCATCCCATCATATAGAATATTAACTAGAATACGGCACGCTTCTGAGTGTCATCTTCTCATATTGATACCAGAAGGATTATCGGAAATACCAATTGATCAGCTACAGGTGCAGGCCTATCGTTGCAACGAAAGCGTTTTGAGTTGAACCGATCGTAGCACTATTCTCACTCTATTGAAAAGTACTGTATAGATCAGATAGGATAGCCCCGTCTTACCTAAGTGGGACTAGTGTATGTATGCGGAGCTCTCAAATAATATTTCCCAACAGGGAAATCCGTTGCCCCTCATTCTCCAGCTCCCTTCCTCTCCTTACCAACATCTCCTTCTTGTATTATCTGACAATTATCACCCTCTATTCCAACATTATGACTGCTCATTCTGACAGTACGGTCTTTCGGGCCACCACCACAGCCCCAGTCAATATCGCTGTTATCAAGTTTGTCCTCCATACCCCTGAGTGTCACGATTGTCACTAGACTATATTGATACTAACCATGGCTTTGAAGATACTGGGGTAAAAGGGACGCCACTCTGAACCTGCCTACGAACTCCTCTCTCTCCGTAACACTCTCGCAGCGTTCGCTGCGCACCCTCACCACTGCCTCATGCTCTGCCAAGTACCCGACTGCCGACGAGCTTACCCTCAACGGCAAACGTCAAGACATCCATTCCTCCAAGCGTACCCTTGCTTGCCTTTCGAATCTGCGTTCTCTCCGCCAGGAACTTGAAGCTACCGACTCTTCTTTGCCGAAACTGTCTACTCTCCCCCTGCGGATCGTTTCCGAGAATAACTTCCCCACCGCCGCTGGCCTCGCCAGTTCCGCCGCCGGTTTCGCAGCGCTCGTCCGTGCCGTCGCAGACCTTTACCAGCTTCCCCAATCCCCTCGTGACCTCAGCCGTATTGCTCGCCAGGGATCTGGTTCCGCCTGTCGGTCTCTGATGGGCGGATATGTGGCCTGGCGCGCCGGGAGTCTTGCCGATGGTAGCGACAGCTTGGCTGAGGAGGTCGCTCCCGAATCTCACTGGCCTGAGATGCGTGCGCTAATTTTGGTCGTCAGCGCTGAGAAGAAGGATGTTCCCAGTACGGAAGGTATGCAAACCACCGTTGCTACTTCCAACCTCTTCGCAACCCGCGCGGAATCTGTTGTACCCGAGCGGATGGCAGCTATTGAGACTGCCATTCAGAAGCGGGATTTCCCTGCCTTCGCAGAGATCACCATGCGGGACTCCAACGGCTTCCACGCCACCTGTCTCGACTCCTGGCCTCCCATCTTCTACATGAACGATGTCTCCCGCGCCGCTGTTAGGCTCGTCCACGATATTAACCGTGCCGTCGGTCGTACGGTTTGCGCTTACACTTTTGATGCTGGTCCGAACGCAGTCATCTACTACCTTGAGAAGGATTCTGAACTCGTTGCCGGTACAGTCAAGGCTATCCTGGGCGCCAGCAGTGAGGGCTGGGATGGTCCATTCTACGAGCCCCTCAAGAATCTCACCGCTCCGGGTGTGGCATTGGATAAGGTGGATTCTAGGGCTGTCGATGTGCTCAAGGATGGTGTCAGCCGTGTGATCTTGACCGGTGTCGGTGAAGGTCCCGTTAGTGTCAACGACCACCTTGTCAGTGAGGCGGGTGACATTCTTTCCAACTAATTAGAAGATATAAAGCACGGTTACTTTAGCGTTGTCGGGCAGAGTGATTCCTTTAAAGTCTGAAAATTTCTAATTTAAACATAATCTTAGCGGAATCTGCTTCACAGGAGATACCCTAAGTTAAACTATACGCGAATTATGTCAGAAGCAAAGTACATATCATTAGGTCTACAGTTAATAACGGTCATAGCTTGACTTGATATATTTTTATTGATCAACATTTCTAATATTCCAACTTTTTGAGAACCTGTTTTAGATATAAAAACAACTCGTGGTTGTACTAGGTCATTTCCTTCAATGTCGAGGCTTCAGTTCAGCAACGCCGACTGCTTCAGCTCCTTGACTGCCGGTGCTTCCCGAACACCTAGGGTAGCCGCAATGCTGTCCGCGAAAGCACGCTGACCACCCCTGGGTGAAACCTCTTCAGTAGTATTCACATTAGTCTCAGCCTCAGGGCCGTCGGTTTGGTCGCCTCCTGGCGGAGCGACAGCACCGAATACTTCCACTCGAGAGTCAGTACACAACTTGAGCACCTCCTGCATAGCCTTTTCAATAGCGGCGGCACGCTCCCGCATGCCCCGTCGGAGCAGTGCATTAACAAGAGTCTCGACCTCAGACACCGTCGAGTTGACTCTTTCGATAAGCCGTCGTACACTGTTCACCAGGTACTCTTCCTCGTACACGGTTCCCTTCTTACCACTAGCACGCTTACGCTCTTCCTTCCGACGAGTCTTTGAAGTCTGTCTTGTCATATTCGTTTTGCCGGTCTTTCCGGTCTTTCCGGTATACCTCGTGAACATACTGCGACCGGCAAGCGTAGAAGCATCCGTAGGCGCAAGAGAGACGTTATCCGGGATATCGACACCCATGTCTCCTCCCATCGTGGGGTCACCTCCGAAATAGGCGAGCGGGTCGGTGGCGCGACGAATGCGCAGTTCCCCGATACGTGGTACTTGGGCGTTCAGCTGAGACCGGAAGTCGGCAAGAAGGTCGGTCATGGAGCCCATGGCGTCTGCCAGGCCGGTGTCTACGATTTCTGGGACGAGGCTTTGCTTGCCGTGCAGTGCGAGGAGGCGTGTTGCGTCAGCAAAGCGAGACCCGCGGCACAAGAGACGGGCGGCCAGGGGGATGTCGTGGAGGTGTTCTGCGTGGACGTGTGCTGCGGAGACGTAGTCTTTGTTCTCCTCTGTCAAAGTGGTGGCTAATTCGAGTGCGTGCGCTTTAAGTTTTTCCTCTGATAATGGGACCATCATTGCGCAGTACAGGGATTCACGCCAGAGATGGGCCCGCTGGTAGCATTGGTAGGCGTCGGTGTATAGGGAAAGTGATTCGTAAGCTGGGATTGGTTAGCAGCTGATACATTGTATTGTGGGATAGAGAGGTGTGTGTGGGAATACGTACCGATGGCTGCTTCTTTGTATTTGTTTTGATCGTAGAGGTAATCGGCGTAAAGATTGGTCATGTCGCGTAGTTGCTCTTGCTGATATTTGTAGAGATCGATGGCATCCTTATACAGGACATGTTTGATAGCATACGCCCTGAGCTCATCATGAGCGTTAAGCGCATGAAGATGTCCCAGAGCCTTGGCCGATCTTCCGAGATAGTTATCAACTTCGAACTGTCGTCGAAGCTCAGGCAGCTGCTGTAGCTTGCGCAAGAATGGGAGGTATTCCCGAGGATCCTGAATGGCTTTAGAATAACATAATAGGAGATTTGCTGGCGCTACTTACACGCTGGGCTTGCTGGGCAACAAGCAATGTGAGCTCAAGGTCGTAAAGACCCAACGCGGTATCGTATAAACGGTGGGCATCAGACAAGAAGCACATATGTTCGACTGCGTCTTCTGCTTGTTCGGAGCTTTGATCTATTGTAAGGTGAGTGGCTGGTCAAGTATGGTGGTCGGATTTAGACTCACCTCTCAGGCGTGCAACCAGTTGAAGACCAGCCTCGAGGTCTGGTGGCGATTTGACGACGTGTGCCGTGACAAGGTTATGCAGGTTGGTATCGATCTTCTTTTCCAAAGCAACCAAGAAGGCATCGCAAATCCGATTAACCTTACCATCCTTGACTGGGGCCTTGGTGGCAGGTACCACATTGTCGTCCACCTTAGATGTCTTCAGCGTATCCTTGTACAGGGTCTCAGAGACATCCTCGTCGCTGTATGTTGTTAGGAAGGGAACACCCTACAACATAATGTACATGTTTGACATACCTTAGACGGGATAAGAACTCGTCGATGAAGTCAACCCTTTTCACTTGGTCAATGAATAATGGGACACTTTCCATGAACTGTTCTGGGGCGTAGTCATGAATGATATTCATATCTACCATCTGGCTGCGACAGGTAAGGAAAGCCGAGCGGTAGTTCTTGCGATCAATGAAGGACCTGATGCCTGCTAGGACAAGAGCACGGGGGTATGTGGTCTCAATATTACCACGAGGTGCCTGCAACACAACGGCAAACGCACTAGGTATTACTGACACCAAGCGCGAACCACGCTCAATGCTTCTGCAACGCTCATCGGTCTCTGGTGTATCAGGAGGAACCTCCATATCTGCTGAAGAGTTAGCCATGCTGCGGCAGGAAGTAGTCTTGGAAGCACTAACCCTCTACCCTGGTCAAGTGAACGAATTTTAGGAGATGCTGAGAAGTAGTGAACAAGATGTGGGATTGGGTCACGAGGAACGAGGTGCAATTCTTCGCAAGCAAAGTCTTATTCGCGTACAGGGCACCGGTCCTTGTCATAGAGATCAAAAGATGCTTCGAAAATTAGCATACGCGAGAAATAAGTGGCAAACTAGGGTCCAAGAAAGCATTACCTCGTCTTCTGATAACTGAGCGGCCTTGGCCCAATATGAGTCGACGGAAGGACTCTGCGTGTACGGGGTTGCTACAAATTCCTCTGTAGACGGCATAGAAACCGTGGAGTAGGCAATTGGTTGCCCATATTGGTTGATGTGAGAAATCCAGAGTGTTTCATGATTGAGGGATGGGAATAATGAAATCAAGTGCTCCGACTCAGCCGCCTGGTACGCGATTTTCGTTGTTCTAGTTTCCAAAGTCGTTCGCTCAATGTAGGCTTTATTCGGTCCACTATTCTTGAGAATATAAACCTCATTCTCGTTGATAAAAGCGATTTGCCTAGGCCTGCTGTCCGAAGCATCAGACAATGGATAGCTCGACTCAAGACTAGGCGCAGCCACTTGGCGAGTCTTGAGGGGCCACATAAATATGGAGAAACAATCCTTCATCAGGACAGCAATACGAGTGCCCGACTTGCTGAACGCGACGTCTATAACGTTCGAGTCCAATGTCAATTCATTGTGGGCCATGGGTGGTGGGACACCCGCAAACCTCAGCGGAGTCAACTTGAGAATTTCTTTGCTTGGTTAGAGGGGCTTTAAATCAGCTTTGGGAGTAATTAAAACTTACCTCCATCAATGACAGCAACAGCCCCAACATCATTTGGCACAATAGTCGAACCATGAGAGACGTCAAACACAAACTCCGCGTCCAATATCGACTCTGCAATGCAGTCAGTACATATTCTTTAATCAATATCAGGCGCAAAGTACCTGAAGCGCCTGCAACAAAGCGTAGTGTCTTCTCCTGGTGCCACTTGAAGGCAAAAGCAGTTGGGTAACTGGGGCTCACGACCACAGGAACCTCCTGCTTTAAGTAGTAATGATAGTTACCCATAGTCCAGAACTGGACTCTGTCTTTGAATTGAACAGCGAGTACCGTCGAGTCGATATTCCAAGTCAAGTAGATATCCGACGCCCACGATGACTTCTCTTCCTCGGTAAGGCGAAGTGTGAACTCTCCGTGACGCAAGCCGTTTCTTTCGAAGAATACAACATCGACTCGGTCGTCACGACGTTGGATACCGGCAATAAGATTACCATAAGGCCTCCAGCTCAGGGCACCTTCCAGCCCATCCACTGGCTCACTCACACTGTCTAAGGTTCCCTCTCTTGAATAGACGCGGATTGCACGACGAGTGCCCGCTTCAATGCTGTTTACCGCAACATAGGCACCATCTCCTCGCCAGGTAATAGTCGTCCTCCCGTCATCGTTACTGCTCAGCTTTCCTTCGTCTACCTTTTCAGGGACTGTAGGGTCACGAAGCGCCTTAGCTCGCTTTCCTTGAAACTGCGTTTCCTTCTTTCCCCAACCAACGGAGACATGTTGAGACGCCTTGAGGTCCTCTGGAGTGAAGGTGATTTCAGCCACATTCTCGAACTCCCTGGTCATGTACAAGAATGTGTTAGCTCTTGTGGTTAGGGCCAGGAGTTCCTCATCTGGAGACCAAGCAGCAGCAGTGATGCCAACATCGACCGAGCCCAGAATCTCAATCTTGTCCTCCCCAGGAAGAGGTTCTTCACGGACAATGATGATATCACCCCCCTCAAGTACTAAACAGGCACTAAGGTTGTCTGCAAAGTAATGAAGGGAGAGGACCCGGTCACAGGGGAGGTCTGACAGAGGGCATGGTGCGTCCCACGAGGCGATGCACTCAAATACATTTGCGCCTACGGGCTCTGAGAAATCGGCGTCCTGACATTTTCTCCTAAGTTCAATAACTGGATTGGTCTCTGTAGGACCGAAAGTGCAAATTACTGCATCCGACGCAGTGTCCCAAGCAGTGGCTGTTAATGGCAGCTCACTCTGAAGCTGCACCTCGGCGAGGCGAACATTTTTCAAGTTGCGCATATCTGATAATTTTAATTGTAGTCTCTTTTTTTACCCCGCGGCCATGAATCAATGAAAGCTCCGGGGTAGAAGAAAATGAAATGTAGAAGGGGATTAAGAAAGAATCAAAATGAAAATAAAAAAAAAAAAAATTAAAAGCTAGATCAAGAAACGATGTTCCATCTAGCAATTTCGACAAAGAAGAAGTATAAATTATGTTCCTACAAGTTGCGGAGCTTTGCAAACATATCGGATGCGGACCAAAAGATTTTAATTTTCTCTGCAGACAAAAAATCGACCAATGACTTCATCCATATTCTAATATGGAATCAGCCCATTTTGACCCAGATTCATTCCAACCACAACTACGAGATCAATGGCATACTAGAATGCAGCTTATAGAATACACCGAAATTCAGAGCTTAATAATCGATTTCCTAGCTTTATACATAGATTCCGAATACTTCCAGTGTAGGGTACATTTTCGACCAATTCCCAGTGCCCAATGATCCCACGGCGCGCAGAAGGTATACATTGCGAAAACCCGCTTAGCGAGTCTTGTAGGTCTGCCAGACTGTAGAGAAGATCTTGTTAGAGATTCGACCATAACCGTCGCCAAATCTATGAATAACATACCAGCAATAGCGAAGGGAGCACCGAAACCGGTGACTAAACGTTTGAGTCAGTAACCCAGAACAACAAATCCAACCCGTAGAAATCAATTGAGAATCACTCACTCATGAAAGCCCAGTACCGGAAGAAGAAGAACTTGGTAAGAGGGTTGAAGGGGATGTTCGAACGAGGACCCTCAGCGTAGTGGTATGGGCTGCCGAGCTGGGCGCGGGTGGTGGAAAAGCCACGACGGGCGACGAAAGAGGTGGCCATTCTGGCCCGGAGAGCGGTAGCGGCGTTCATCTTAGGTTCTGTTAGATGCAATTGGGAAGATGTAAATCATCAGCCAGCAGTTTACCTACCTTGAGGGAAGCAGCAGGGCACGGATGGTCAAGGCAATCTACTCTTCTCATAACTGGCGGGAAGAGTAGGAGTGGTGGAATGACAATCGTCGGCCCGGAACCGGGTCACGTGCTGGCCGTTCCGAACGGCAAGTTTGTCCGGCGGAAAGACCTGCAGCAATGGCTCTGACCAATCATAAGCCGCCCGCCTCAAAAGGAACATTGAAATTTCTCAGTGAATCGGCGAGCGCGACATAGTGCGACGAGCACTTCAACCATCCGGTCGTTGTCCGTCCTTGCTCCTTGCGGCCGACCTTGAACGTTCGACCGACTATGGATGAACTTTTCGATGTTTTTGAGGACCAGCCCCAGGCTGTTAAACCCTCTGACGGAGCTCCCAAACGTTCCAAGAAAGACAAGAGCAAGAAGCGTCAGGTCAATGGTGATGTGAAGGAAAGCGATGCCACCGTAGAAGCAAAGGAACCCGTCGCCGTTGCCGATACCCCCGTTGAAGAGACTTCCGAGCCAGAGGAGGGCGACGCGCCTACGACAGACAACAATGAACAACCGGATGCGAAACGGCCGCGACTCGAGAAGGAACCGGAGCCCGTGGTAGCCGACTTATTCGAGACAGCGCAAGAGCGTGAAGTCGCCGGATCTGCAGGACTTCAAGCCGCCAATGATTCAGCATCCGTTGTTCTTTCGCACCAAATTCGCCATCAGGTCGCGATACCACCGAACTATCCATATGTGCCCATTTCCGAGCATAAACCTCCCGAGAATCCGGCGCGAGTATGGCCGTTCACCCTCGACCCGTTCCAGCAGGTTTCCATCGCATCGATTCAAAGAGAGGAGAGTGTACTTGTTTCAGCCCACACTAGTGCCGGAAAGACCGTCGTCGCCGAATATGCTATTGCCCAGAGCTTGAAGAACAACCAGAGAGTTATCTATACAAGTCCAATCAAGGCCCTTAGCAACCAGAAATACCGAGAATTTGCAGCAGAGTTTGGAGATGTTGGTCTAATGACGGGTGATGTTACCATCAACCCAACGGCTACTTGCCTAGTCATGACAACGGAGGTAGGCTTCGTCACCCTCGTTCTGAGCCTAGTGATCCTAACACATCTTAGATTTTGCGGTCTATGCTGTACCGTGGCTCCGAGATCATGCGTGAAGTCGCGTGGGTTGTCTTCGATGAAATCCATTATATGCGCGATGCGAGTAAGTTTCTTCAGGGGTGACACTAGGATTCAGCTTGTTAACCGTGGATACAGCCCGAGGTGTGGTTTGGGAGGAAACCATCATTCTGCTTCCAGATAAGGTTCGATATGTTTTCTTGTCCGCCACAATCCCCAACGCCATGCAATTCGCCGAATGGATCGTCAAGATGCACAACCAACCGTGCCATGTTGTTTATACTGATTACAGACCGACACCCTTACAACATTATTTCTTCCCTGCTGGTGCCGATGGTATTCACCTGGTTGTAGATGAGAAGGGCGTGTTCCGCGAGGAAAACTTCCAGAAGGCTATGAGTACTATTGCAGACAAAAAGGGCGATGACCCAGCGGATGCCATGGCCAAGAGGAAAGGAAAGGGCAAAGATAAAAAGTTGAACAAAGGTGGAAATAAGGGCCCAAGTGACATATACAAGATTGTCAAGATGATTATGATCAAAAACTACAACCCTGTGATTGTCTTCAGTTTCAGCAAGCGTGAATGCGAGTCATGTGCTCTACAGATGAGCACCCTGGCCTTTAACGACGACTCTGAGAAGGAAATGGTTTCCAAGGTTTTTAACAGCGCGATTGAAATGCTCTCGGAGGAGGACAGGAACCTCCCCCAGATTCAACATATTCTACCTCTCTTGCGCAGAGGTATCGGTGTCCACCATTCTGGTCTTCTTCCCATCCTGAAAGAGACCATTGAAATTCTCTTCCAAGAAGGTCTCATCAAGGTCCTTTTCGCTACTGAGACATTCTCCATCGGTCTTAACATGCCCGCAAAAACCGTTGTTTTCACAAGCGTTCGCAAATTCGACGGTTTCAGTCAGCGCTGGGTCACCCCATCAGAATTTATTCAGATGTCTGGTCGTGCTGGTCGAAGAGGTCTCGATGACCGAGGTATTGTTATTATGATGGTCGGTGAAGAGATGGATCCCGCTGTAGCGAAGGAGATTGTTCGTGGCGAACAAGACCGACTGAATTCGGCGTTCCATCTTGGCTACAACATGATTCTGAACCTGATGCGTGTAGAGGGTATCTCACCTGAATTCATGTTGGAAAGATGTTTCTACCAGTTTCAAAATACCGCCGGCGTTGCTACTCTTGAAAAAGGTATGTGTATATGCAAGTGTCGATAATATTGCATTTTGCTAAGTTTAGTACAGAGCTTGTTGAGTTGGAGGAGAAGAAGGCCAACATGACTATTTCTGACGAAGGAACCATTCGTGAATACTACGATCTGAGGAAACAAATTCGCCAATTCACCGATGACATGCAGGCGGTTACAAGCCATCCCAATTACTGCCTACCCTTTATTCAGCCTGGACGCTTGATCAGCATCAAGCACAAGGATGTGGATTTCGGATGGGGTGTCGTTGTCAACTACAAACAACGCAAGCCCCCGAAGAATTCGACCGAAGAACCTACGCCGTACCAGAAATTTGTTGTTGACGTTTTACTGAGGATCGCCGACGGGCCGTCGGTCGGCACTAAGACCTTTGAAGATTTGCCGTCCGGAGTCAGGCCGCCAAAGGAGGGCGAAAACTCCCGTATGGAAGTGGTGCCGGTAGTCCTCAGCTGTATCCAATCTATCTCTCACATTCGGATTTTCCTCCCGAAGGATCTACATTCGGCAGATTCAAGGAACGGGGTGAAGAAGGCCCTGGATGAGGTGCAAAAGCGCTTCCCAGATGGCATTGCTGTGCTTGATCCGATTGAAAATATGAACATCAAGGATGAAAACTTCAAGAAGCTGCTTAGGGTAAGATAAGCCTTGCTGTGAATGGGTGTCTCAGGTGTGCTAACGTAAACTGCAGAAAATTGAAGTGCTTGAATCTCGTCTCCTCTCTAACCCATTGCACAACTCGCCACGTCTGCCGGAACTTTATGAACAGTACTCGGACAAGGTTGAAACTGGCTCCAAGATCAAGGCCACCAAAAAGAAGATCACCGAAGCCATGTCGATCATGCAGCTTGACGAGTTAAAGTGCCGTAAGCGAGTGCTTCGTCGGTTTGGATTCATTAACGAAGCCGAGGTCGTGCAGTTGAAAGCCCGTGTGGCCTGTGAAATTAGCACGGGTGACGAGTTAATGCTCAGTGAATTGCTTTTCAATGGTTTCTTCAATAACCTTACACCTGAACAAGTCGCTTCGGTGCTGAGTGTGTTCGTCTTCGAAGAGAAGTCCAAGGAGACCCCTGCCCTAACACGAGACGAGTTGGCGAAGCCGCTCAAGGAAATCCAGGCGCAAGCCCGGATCGTTGCCAAGGTTTCCCAGGAGTCAAAGCTCGCTGTCAATGAAGAGGAGTATGTGCAGAGCTTCCATTGGGAGTTGATGGAGGTTATATATGAGTGGGCGAATGGCAAGTCCTTCGCTGATATCTGGTAAGTCCCTATTTGCCACCGTTTAGTTCGGGAGTGTGACAAGACGCTAATGATTCCTTTCTTTCATCATCTCAGTAAAATGACGGATGTTTACGAAGGCAGTTTGATCCGAGTCTTCCGCCGATTGGAAGAATGTTTACGACAGATGGCACAGGCCGCCAAGGTCATGGGGAGCGAGGAACTTGAGAGTAAATTTGAGACCGCCTTGACCAAGGTCCGCAGGGACATTGTTGCCGCACAGTCCTTGTATCTATAGACGTACGACTTACTACTACTACTACTACCACCTTACTTCCATTACAGCGATATTACTTTCATTCCAACCATCGTGTTTCCACTCATGTATGGCAAATTGTCATGGTGAGTGGTGGTGGCATTTCCCTGGCGTCGGAGGGCTCAAAAAACAGGGTATCATCGTTTGGTTTGCTTTCCGTGTAATTACTTTACCATATGTTTATGGCGAAATGAAATAAATTTTAAGTATTTATTTGGGAAAAAAAAAATTTTTGCGTATACTTCCCACCCCCTCAAAACTTTATATTATTACGATGATTGATAATGTTAACGGAGATCATGGCAAGGGGGACCAGAGCAACGGAAATAAATCTAAAACAAAACAAAAGATTCGAGTCCCTTTTTGAGTTCTCAGAAACTTTCGAGAGTGAGGTTGAAGCAGAAAGAAAAAGTGACGATAAGGAATAATGTCGTGGTCATCATGGACGCTTGACCTGCGCAGAAGGCGTGCGTTGCCTCCCGCAACCGCCTTTTCCAGTCCACCGCTTCTCTTCTTTCTCTCTTCCCCACCAATTCCATCCTCTCTCCCTCACTCCTTCAGTCTCTCTTCCTGCATTTTTTGTCTTTCCCTTGCATTATCTCTTCTCTCTGCACCTTCGCCTCGTGCCCTGTAGCGGATTTCTTATAATACCCCATATCACCGTCGTTCAGTCAGCGTCAGGTTTCTTCATCTCTCCGCCCACCAGCTGTCCGTGGTCATCATGAACAGCTTGGTGGCTACACCACCTGTGCCTCCACACTTCTACGAATATTCCCGTCTCTCCTCCCCTCGTCCAAGTAAGAACCCCCTCTTTACATTGATAACCGATGGTCGAGATAACGAATTTGCTGATAAATATCTTTCAGTGTCTACACCAACCTACACCCCTAATAGCCGCAAGCGGAAAGCCGACGACGATGGTAACGATCATGATGGACGAATGTCCGCCTCTCCGACAAGCTCGCCAGCGTTCACACCAAGGTCTCTTCCAAGCCGAAATATGAAACGAGCCCGCCCGAATGTCAGCGGCCGACCCCTGTCACTTCCTCGTTTGTTAGAGACCTTAGATACAGATGCTCTCCGGGGGGTCCTTCGGTCGATGTGTGAACGCCACCCGGGATTAGTCGATGAAGTTGTTCATACTGCTCCTCGCCCGAGTGTGTCTTCTGCTCTGCAGGTGCTTCGAAACTACCAATCTACTCTCCAATCCTCCTTCCCCCTGGGTGGCAACCCGGCATCCGACTACGCTTATAATCGAGTTCGACAACCTCTATCCAATCTTCTGGATGCCTTGAGCGACTTCACACCGCACTTCTTACCACCTAACGAATCTCAACCTTCTTTATCTCTAAATTACCTAGATGGCGCCACTGAAATCATTCACGCATTACCACGATGGCACACACCCCAGAACAACATAGAGCGGGACTCTGCATACGATGAAATTTGCAAGGCCTGGATCCTTGTGATCCGGGAGGCTGCCAAACGTGGCGGAGGCATTCAGTTACAATATGGTGGTTGGGATCAGAAGTTGGCAAAACACAATCAAAACTCCGGTGGTAAGCTGCAGGCGGCCGTCAACGAGCTTGGAGCCAGTTTAGGATGGATGCACGGACCTGAGACCCAAAGCCATGCAAGCCCAGGTGGTAATGACTTTGGTTCCATCCGGGAGCAGCTCCTGTCCGGCACATACGGGCTGGGGACTCCAGTTAAAGTTGGGCCATGGTAAACCCACCAGCTTCTACGACCTATTGATACCCTACGATTATCCTAGAGACACCCTTCGATATCCCCAGAACTACTGTCTGAATCCTCGACCGTGCACATCTACGTATGATACGATCACGATACCAACTGCATGAACTAGAGAGTTGAGGGTCAACTTGGCGTTAACAGTGTGCAAAGAGAAATTCTTCCTTTTTTTTTTCCTTTCCTTTTTTCCTTTCCTTTTTTTTTTTTTTTGTTCTCTCTTTTTCCCTCTCATTTTCATCTTGTGCCTGTCAGAATCCACATGTATGTTGCCTTTCCTTAGATATCAGCCCGTGGCCCAAGTTTCATTTTATCACCACCATGTCATTGTATCATCAAGATTAAGCATGGTTCTCTGTCCTTCCTTGATTCATTTCCTTTGGTTTTCTTTATACTACCACGGTCGACATTTCGGACGTTACTTGAATTTTCTACCACTTCCTGCGAACTATGTTCATTAGGTTTTCCATCTTTTCTACCTTTCTACCTGTCTTGTATACCCTTTTATATTCTTCTTTATTTACTGGAGTGTGACTTGTGTTTTGTTTACTTGTTGCATCTTGGGAGGACTCAGTCATATACTGAACTTTTCGGTCACCGGGTCAGGTTACGTGTCAAGTAAAGGTTAAAAAGAAAAGAAAAGAAAAAAAAATATTCTGACTTGTGTCACTGTTTTAAGGGCAGTGGACGCAAGATGAATTGAACAACTCAGAGGACCCATCGGCCCCTTTACGTGGGCATATGCGCAATATCCTCAGGGGCTCTAGAGCGAATGGATTGAACCCATGGAACCAATATCAGAATTTGCTGACAGGGGTCTGCTGGGCAAAATCAATTTGGGGAGGGATTAGGCTAGCATTGCTACAAGACAGACTTCATGTCTGCCCGAGAGAACGTAATATGTAAAGTTTCGAAATGGGGAGTTGTGAGGTGAAATTTAGAACATTGTTAAATTAATATCATGTGCGTTACAATACATAACGAGGAAATGGTCGTGTTGTCATCATATCCATGCCTTAGGTTGAACAATTATATATATCAAAAAGCATCCTTCCACAATCTGACACTCTATACGCTTCCTCATGCTTTGCTCAAGCAATAAAATCATCCTCATAACAGCGCACGCTTCATAACCCCAAATAGCCACCATGCATCTTCCCAGCCCCCATCGTCGCCTGGTTTTTCTGTCACTGCAGGGACTTCAGAATCGCTAATGGTCGACGCACCATCTGTCCTATCAGTCCGTCCTGATATAGATACCTGGTCGTCGTCTTCATCAGCGGCACTAGGCTCTGCCCACTCAACATTCTTGGGAACCTGGTCAACAGGCCCACTGGAATAAGACAGCGGCCAGTCGTCAACGCCAAATACTGTCCATTCCACCATGCGATCGAACCAACTGCCCAACCCAAAGCCGCGCTCTCGGGTCAAGCGCTGCATCTCCTGCTCATCAATGTCATCCTCCGAGTCAGAGTACTCGTCAGACTCGGACGTATATTCCTCTTGTTGAATAATCGCCATCTCTGCACGGATACGCTCGTCCACAAAATCTGGCACGAAATGTCGCACATCAAGCGCAGGACTTTCAAGACTGCCACTGTCACCCTGTCTAGTAGAAGTCATCTCGAGGCCGGTCATGATAAGGTCAGGCCGACTGCCTCTTCTACTGACAACGCGCGACCTAGATGCCGCCGGGGTTGACCGCCCGGATCTGGATTTCCTAGTCACTTTGTTAAAGTGACCAGGGGACTCCACGTCATAGTTACCTTCATCAACCAGACTAGTCGAGCTCTCCCGCTTCGCGAGCCAACTTTGACCCTTTTCTTCTCGGGTCGAAGAAGCTAGTGCGATCCCAGCGCGAAGCATCCACTCTGCATCACGACGACTAGCTGAGTCTGACGGGTGACGACGAGGTGGCTGTCGCTTCGTCTTCGACGCTTGGTGGTGACATGGTTGAGTATCATTTTGACCCTGGAGGTTGGTATCGCTCAGGTGTGCGCGGGTCGAGCTTTTACTCCGCTGGTGGTGTCGGGCCCTGGACCCGCTGCGGGAGTGAGACAAGAGACCTGGGGTACCGGGGACGGAGTAACTGGAGAGATACGAAGTCTTTGCGGGGATATCATGGGCGCTGAAGTAGGACTCAGAATCTTCAGCTCTTGGAGTAAAGTAATCCTGGTGCTCGACATCGTCGTCAATAGGGAAACGAGATGTCAATGGAGCTAGGGAAGCATGGTTTAGTGAGGGATACGAGCGGCGCGAGCGAAAGCCGCCCTCGGACTGCGAAAGCTGTAGTGGAGTCATTAGAATGTAATTTATCACTACCCGTCAACAGGGAAGCGCATACCTCCATCTAGGATGCCTGGGGCCACGGAGGACAATAAATACCGGGCGAAGGTACTAAGGGAGTGGCAAGCTCATTAATGGTACGATGGATGCAGCAGCTCATGAGATTTTGGAGGGTTGTTGGCCTTGTTTTGTCGGCAACTCCGCCCGTGACATGTGAATGCGGGCACCAACGGCTTTGCTCCATTCTGGACTTTTTCGACAACTTAACTTAGGGTTGTTTTTTTTCTGTTAGGTAAATTGGTAGGATTTTCCTTGACCGGATAGGAGAATCCGGTGGATATCACCACGTCAGTGTTCGAACTACGGATTCTATAAGACATTGTGCTTATGTATATCGACGTGTCTTGCATCTTTATGGTATTCTGTACATTTGTCGATGTGAAACGTCAACCAACAGTCCATTAATTCATTGAGGATTCCATATTTAGACTATACACGTTTTTTATGATTTATTTCTTTTTTCAAACCTTACTCAATCCTCCCCTTATTGACAACAAAGCCCTCCATGGCCGAAATCGCAGCCCACAGCCGATTCTCCGCCTCGGGGAAGACTAAGGACCGTGGGCTGTAGAAAACTTCATCGCTGACTTCCTCAGGGTGACGAGGCAGGCAGTGCATGAACTTCCAGCCTTCGTTAGCACCACCACGCTTGGCAAGTTCAGGAGTGATTTGGAAGCCCTCGAAGTCCTTCAACCGCTTGATCGACTCTGCCTCCTGTCCCATGGAGACCCAGGTGTCAGTTACCAGAATATCCGCACCCTTAACTGCCTCCTCAGGAACGTTGGTTTCAATGATTTTCCCTGGTTTCGAGACACCATTGCTGGCCTGCTTGATGAGCTCCAACATCGGGGCAGGAATCTCATAGCCCTTCGGAGTCGCAACAGCGATATCAATACCCATCTTGGTGGCAGCGATTGCCATGTCAAATAGAACATTGTTCGCATCACCGACCCAGGCAATCTTGAGGCCCTCTAGACCCAAACTGTCAGAGCGATGGGCCTTAGGGGTAAATGTTTCGTAAATGGTCTGGAAATCGGCAATGGCCTGGAGAGGGTGGAAGGAGTCACAGAGAGCGTTGATAACAGGCACCGTCGAGTGCTTGGCAAGGTCTGCAACCTCAGCGTGCTTGCCGACTCGGGCTACAATGCAAGAGACCATGGAGGAGATTACAACTGCAGAGTCATATAAGGACTCATTGACTCCGAGTTGAATATCATCCTTGCCTAGAAACATTGGATGTCCTCCCAAGCGCACCACAGCCCCTTCAGTAGATATCCTGGTCCGGGTACTGCGTTTGCTAAACAGCATGGCTACTGTTTGCCCAGTCATGGAGCCAAGCAGATTCCGTGGGATGGAGCCCGACTTGATGGTTCGTTTGTGTGAGGATGCATTACGGACGAGGGTTGCGAACTCTGTTGAGGTAAGATCCGCGATGGAAAGAAAATGGCGAGGGGCGAACGGTGAGGTGGGGGGAGTCATAGAAGTAGTAGTGTGAGAAGAGTATCGGCGCACAGCGTTGAGTGGAATCCTCTGGCGCAAGGTGTGGTTGCCGCAACGAGCGGCGGCCAGCTTCAGACCGCAAGTCATGATGAGATAATTTACGGTAGGTACGCGGTGAAGCAATGGAGTACAGGAAGAATATATAGAGAAGAACCAGAGGATTGAAATGACTCAATTCGTACCGGACTAGAGAAAAGAGTCATCAACAGCAGCAACAATAAAAAAAAAAAAAAAGAAAGAAAAGAAAGAGAAAAAGAAAGTACCTTAGCTTGTTCGTTCGAGTCAGGCAGTTAGCTTGAAAGCGTAAGTGTGACTCCTCCAATGCGATCCGCTTTTTCCGTCTCCACAACACGCCTTCTCCAGTTATGGTTAGCGTGGTATGATTGCCGATCATCAGCGTTGATTTAAACTGATAGGCTATACTTCCAGGTCTGGCCAATTCATCCGGCGTGCGTTGTCCATACGGAAGTTGATTATTCTTATTCTTATTCTTAGCCTTACGTCCCCTTTTCGCCGATTCATAACCATCGGTAGCTTGCATTCTTTCAATCTACGGATGCCAATATCATCTCTTATCACTCTTATCTACTCATAACGTATTGCTATCGTGTTATCTCCTCCACATCACCTCTTCTTCCCCCCCATCTCCCCACATATCCGCCCCCGGCCATCATGGCTGAAGAGGCAAGCAGACCTTTACTGAACAAGGGGTCCAGGCCCTCTTCGCGTCCTTCGTCACCGACTTACAACAAACAATCTTCCGACTCGAGTCCTGCACCTCTATTCGAATTATCTTCCGAATCCACCCCTTTACTCTTCAATCGGGAAGAGGACTTGGCAACCTATGGGGGTGTTGCACCCAGACGATCTTCGGCAGCCTCAGAAGACTTTCTTTCCACCAATGATACAAAGAAACCACGAGGCAGAGTACGATGGCCAATATTCTGCGTCTTGCTATCTCTGATTGCGATCATAACAATCCTAATATTCGCTTTTGTCGCGCCGGCTGTAGTGAAGCAGTATGCGGTGGATGCCGTCGTGTTCAGCCCAACTAATGTCTCGGTTGAGTCGGCCACAGCGGATGGAATCCAGGCGAGGATACAGGGAGACCTTGTACTTGATGCGGGCCGCATAAAGAAAGCACCAGTGCGGAATATTGGTCGTTTTGCCACATGGATCGGTAGAGAAGTCGAGACAGGTCAGTCGGAAGTCGAAGTGTATCTACCAGAGTACGGCAACGTACTCCTCGGAACAGCATCTCTACCTTCTATCAAGGTCAACATTCAGAACGGCCATGTCAACCATGTCAACTTCTTGGCGGACCTAGTCGCTGGTGATATCCCTGGTATCCGAGCGGTAGCGGTTGATTGGTTAGAAGGGAGACTTGGCCGCCTGCGAGTGCAGGGAAAAGCAACAGTGCCACTCAAATCTGGCATTCTGAGTTTGGGCGAACAGACGATAACCGACTCTATAACCTTTCATGGTAAGCCACGCTATTCTTCTTTCGCTAAGTGATCTCTGACGTTGTATGTAGAGGGTGATTTCCCAGCACTTCCAAAGGTTAATGTTACAAAGTTCAATGTGCACGATACAGATACGCCCGGACGTGATGGAGCTATGGAAGTTGATGCCTCAGTGGCTGCTCTTGTCGATTCGCCCTTTGGCCTGAATATTCCTCCGCTTGGGTTTGAGGTGCTCGTGCCAAACTGCTCGCCAGGCGACCCATATATCTCAATAGCGGACGTCACAACAAAAGGATTCCCGATATATCCAGGGCAGCCGACGTCTGTCGACGTTGCTGGAATTGTTCAGGGTCTTTCTGATGACTTAACGAAGACTTGCCCTGGAAAGAAGAAATCTCCCTTGGATTTTCTAGTCAAGAGTTATATAGAAGGCCTTCAGACTACAGTTTATGTTCGTGGAGCCGACGTTCCGTCCTTGGGAACACCTGAGTGGGTGGTAGACATCCTAAAGACCGTGACAGTACCCTTGGCTTTTCCAGGACATGCTCTGGACAATCTCGTCAAAAACTTCACCATGACGGATGTGCATTTCGACATGCCGAATCCCCTCGCAGAGCCTGATACGCCCGAGTCTCAACCTAGGGTATCAGCCTTGGTGAATGTCTTGATTGGGTTGCCTAAGCAACTGAACCTTCTTCACCTAGATGTCCCTCGTGTTCGTGCCCACTCTGACATATTTTACCATGGGAAGAAGCTCGGTGTTTTGAATCTGCAAGAATGGCAGCCAGCTAATTCCACTCGTCTGGATAACGTTAATGGAGCTCCAGCTTTGCTCGTTAATTTTTCCATGAAGCATGCGCCGATTCAGGTGACTGATGGGGATGTTTTGACAGATATTCTACAAGCCTTGCTCTTTGAAGGACAACCCGTGAGACTGACAGTTGCTGCGAGTGTGGATGCAGAAGTCTCTACAGGGCTTGGAACCTATGCTGTTCGTGGAATACCAGCCGAGGGCGCCGTGAACGTTAAACGTGAGTGGCAATAATTTTGAGACTAGGCGTGTTTTTTGTTGATGCTTGAATAGCGCCGTATGGTGACTCACTCGAGCGACTGAGTCCACGGGTTGAATCGATAGCACTCGGACCTACAACTGAATCGTCACTCGTAATGAAAGCGAAAATCAACATAACAAATCCGTCGCCATACTCCGCATCGGTACCTTTTGTTGACTTAATTCTTGTCTACAATGAGACTACAGTGGCTCACGTAACTGCCCGAGACCTTGTGATTGTGCCTGGGGTAAATTCTGGTATCTATGCCGACCTACAATGGAATCCACTCGAACTAGGTGGCTCAGCTGGTGTAGCTGCTGGCCAAGAGATGCTCTCACAATATGTTTCCGGTGAGTTTTGTATTGGTTTGCGGACCTTGCTAGATGGGTCTGTTTGCCTAACCACTACTAGGTTACAACACGTCCGTAACAATTCGCAGTCACGAGGGAACATTCCCGGCTCTACCAGAACTTGGACAGGCACTCTCCAGACTAGGACTTGAAGTCCCAATCCCTAGAGTGCCTGTTCCTGGAAATCCTGGTGATGAGGATGGAAAGCCGAAGTTTATCCAGGACACAACGGTACTGTCTACTCTCATGGAAGCCGCTTCTCTACACGACAACCACTATTAATGATATGTTCTCCCGGGGAACATCTTTCAAGTAAAGACAGTGTTCTATAAGGTGCTTTTGGTCTTGCTGACTTTTGCCTGCTACTAGCTACACCTATGGTCATCAACGGCGGAGTTCACATTGTCCTCCCCGTTTCCCAATACGACCATAGAGATTACGTCGGTAGAAGCCAATGCCTTCTACCAGAAACATGAAGAGGTCGGTCGTATCGATTACTATATTCCTTTCCTGGTGCCGCCGGGTCTCTCCATAACCCCGCGGTTGCCTGTTGAGTTAAATTTGAATGGGATTGGATATGACGCTTTGAGGAAAGCTCTTGGCGGTACACTCAAGTTGGATGCTGTAGCAAAGGTTGGCGTTCTGATTCGAAGCTATCGCACTACCATAACATACTATGGTCAGGGGATCACCGCAAGGGTGAAGATTTAGTGTCGTGGCTTTCGCGAGTGACTGGTAGAAGCAATCACTCCTTTCTCTTGGGCATTTTGTTTCTGCCCTCTCAAGATACATGGGCTGGCGTTTGGGTATAGAGGGCACGGTATTGGCTGTAAGCCGGTTTTGCGGGGTTGGATTTCGGGATATGTTGAGCAATTGACTTACCAACTCCATCTTTCCTCTCCTTCTACGGAGTACGAAAGTTACCTTACAACTACCATGCTAAGAAATAAATGCTTGCGTAGGCTGATGAAGCTAAATTGCACCAAGTTTCAAGTCAACGACATGGAAACATAGATAATGTACTCATGAAAAGTGCATGACTCAAAAGAAAAAAAGAAGAAAAACTGCTAAATTTTACACTAAATATTATAACTTCCAAGGAAAACAAGTTTGCTTCTTCATTGCGATTCTTTTCATTTCGGATATCCATTTTAACCAGGAGGAAGGGTGCTTGCGTCGACAACGTCGGCAGCCTCCTTCTCAAGCTCCTCAACCTGCTCGTGAAGAGGGGAACGAGGCAGAGCCATCAGACCGGTACGGGTAGACTCCAAGACACCGAAGGGAGCGATGAGCTTCATGAAGGAGTCGATACGAGACGGCTTAGCGGAGCTATTCAAAACGTCAGTGACTGCACCAATGCGTACACGGTGAATGACTACTCACACTTCAACAATGCAGTTGTTGTTGCTAATATCAAGAACCTTGCCGCCGAACTGGTGGGTCAAGCGGGTGATGGCATCAAGATGCTCGTGCTTGTGTCTCAATGCCTGACTGGGAGGGAGATTGCGGGGGTGGAATTCAGTGATTTGCTTCTGGCCCTCGCCCTTATCCTTGTGGCCGTCGAGGGTCTCGCCGGGGGTGGTGATCTCGCGGTGGTGCTGAAGCAATTCCTCGAAGAACTCAGGACCCAGGATGCTGACCTTCGCAAGAAGCAACTCACGCTGCACAAGAGCAGAGTCTGTATAGTCAAGGACGGCCCAGACGGGAACAAGATCGTCCAGCTGGCGACGGGCCTGCTCGACGACACCATCCTGACCCTGCAGCACGATGGTCATGCGGGACAGATCTTCAACCTCGGTGTTACACACGACCAAACTGTCAATATTAAAGCCACGAGCAGCCAGAATTCCCGAAACGCGTGAAAGAACACCAGGCTCGTTCTGCACCAGACAGTTCAGGATATGGCGCTTCGGGGGATTAGTCGGCGCAACGGGAGTCTCGTACAGAATCGACGAGACGGCAGTTGGGGCGTCCCATTGTGGAGAGGAGTCCGACACAGGAAGAGGAAGAGGAGAGCGACGATGGAGCGCCTTGTAGGCGAGGGCGGAGGTCGAGCTGGAAGAGGCCCTAGCTGTGGTGAACCGGGGCAGAGTCGCAGCTACTCGGGCAGTTCTGCCAGCAATGGAGGAAAAAGGCGCTGATGCTGTCTTGAACAGCATCAAAGGACGCCGGAAAGCCATGGTCTCCCGAATTGGCCTGCAAGCAAAAGCAGGCAATGCGAAGGAAACGATAGAGGCAGTGACTTCACACTCGACGGATGGAGATTGTAGTCATAAATCGCATTTTATAGTCGAAGACTTCCGAGGTCGGGGTGCTGACTCAGGCTCTGGTACGGAGTAAGGTCACTGACTCCGGAGCATTACCGCTATACCGCTTTGGTCCCAGTGCAGCATTGGCACCTGATCGTTGGCGATGCTG